GCCCGACGATCCGGTGCGGCTCGCCCGTGCGATTCCCGAACCCGAGGCGCGGGGCCCCGTCCCCTCCACGTTTGATGCTTTGCCGCACACGGCTGGAAAAGCTGCAGCCTGTCTGGATGGAGACGGGCGATCCCCCCCAAGAGACGATCTGGCATCTCCTCGTAGAGGTGACGCGTGGGAAATGCTCGTTGGAGGACGGCATGCAACCTAGGAGGTGGGTCGGTGGTGGTGACCGATTGGAATCCGTGATGTGAAACAAGAGGCCGCCGGTGGTAACGGTAAGAACTCGACGGCGGCGTGCACGATGAGGATAGCCAGCCGAGCAATGAACACGGCGGCAAAGTGCATTCATTCGGCTCGTCAGGAAACGAGTTGATTTTCTCACACAATAAATTGTTGCCTTAGTAATAAAATCGATCATCGGTAAGAGTCAGTTCAGTTCTTCGATGTAGAAATTCTTAATTTATTTTGATTGACTCTCTTGTGAATTTTAATTAAAAATAATAAAAAAAATCATCCGAATATATATATAATTGTCGTATCATCGTCCAACGACAAGCTTTAAATTTTATGATTATTTATGACTTTTTTCTTATCTTATCATTTATAAGGAGAAACACAATCATTAATTTTTTTTCATTATTTATTAAACAAAGAATTATAAGTTTTATTTTATATATAAAAGTTTTTTAAGATAAAAAATTATCTCTTAACTATCTCACATTACTCACTTGAGAATCGGAGGGATCGGTGAAAACCTCTCTCGATTTTAGTTTTTATGTAAGTGATATATTTTTATCTTAGAGATAATTTAAATAATCCTGTACATACAAATCTCGGTCAACAGTATTTTTTCCTAACAATCACGTCCAAGTAGATCTAAATTTAAAGATCCAATTTAAGTATTTATTTTTTTATTCATTTTTTTAAAAAAATATAAAGCAGAAATAACAATGATAAAGAAAATGTTACCTACCAATTTCATCATGTTTATTTACATATGAGTTCAATATTTATTTTTATAGTTGAACTCATCCTAAATTCATTTACTAGCATCTAAACCCGATTTATATGGATGGATACAAATAGATCATGCTATAAAAAAAAGAAAAAAATATTTTCATTTTAATCTTCATTATAAATATAATATCTCTCATTTTAAAATTTTTATTGGGACTTATTTATAATGTAAGAATCTATTTTGAATTGTTTATGAGACCTAATTATAAATATGAATAATACAAGGATTAAACTATAAAATATATAAAAAAATATAAATTCTACCACCTCTACCTTAGTTCTTAAGGAATTTGAGAAGGTAGCATGAGAAGAAAGAAAAAGAGAAGAAGAAGTGAAAAAAAAAGGGAAGGAAGAGGAGAAGAAAATTTGGGGCATAGAGTTTTCTTGCTCAAATCCTCTCATTTGTGATAAAAAAAATTTTAAAAATAAGTTTCTAACCCCATCCTACAATAATCTTAATTTCTATTTTTATTTTAATTTTAAATAATTTAAAAGATTTTGGCTTAGCACCATATATTTCTCTCGTTTAGACACAAAATCATGAATATAAAATTTTTTAGATATTTAACCTTTATGCATTGTTTTAGATCTCAGTTTTAGTACTAAACTTTGATTTAGGCAAAACCTAATTTATGTGAAAGTAAACAGATAGATCTTTCTTTTTATACTTGGATTGAAAAATTTGGAGTTCAAATATTAATCCAAACTTCTATTTTAATTGATCCTATAGATTCTACAAAACATGGATCATAATTTTTGACCTTTCGAAACTAAACTGCTTATAATACTCTGTTGAAAACTCTAATTTATATAATATATAATTTATTAAAAACTAGAATCATAAATATTTTGTACATACTTGATTTGAAATATTTAGAACACAAATACCTACTGAAACATCTATTTTAATTGAATAGAGATGATGTTTTATGATCTTTTATTACTAAATTATTTATAACTCTCTATTGAAAACTTTAATTTATATAAAACTTAATTTACATGAAAGTAGATTGATATATCTTTCAAATACAATCATTTTAAGTAATTTGGGGCATAATTGGTTATCTAAAAAATTTGTGAAATGTACCTCTCAAATTCTACCAAAATATGACTTTTGTCAAATTTTTTCTATTTTTACTCCATCTCTTTCAAATTAATTTTTTTATTTTAATTGATCCTTAAGTGATTGTTTTGAACTCTTGTATACTATTATTCTTAATTTTTTTAATATTTAAATATATTATGTGAAAGATTATGTTTGTATTGTATTGACTCATATAAGTATATACGTTTTGTCGTCCCACATATACTTCTGATATGTGCTAATTTTATTATTCATGATGTATTTTTGTACTATGGTGTTTATAAAATTATTTGAACATTTGTTAGAAATGATAAAGGGTGTTATGCTTAGAGCCCGCGAGGTTTTATTGGCCCCCTTTTCCTTTATTAAATTATTTGGACTTTTGCTGGAAATGGTAAAGGGTGTTATGCTTAGAGCCCGTGAGGCTTTGTTGACCCCCTTTTCTTTCATCAAAATATGAATGGATGACGATCCCAAATGTAGGAGATTATGTTTATGATCTAATTTTATCTTCTATGTGTTTAATATGATATCCAAAGTTTTGATTATTTATTTCTATATACACTTTGGAAAAAAATAAAATGAATGCAATATCAAATATAACATTTGAGCTTCTGTTTCATATTTATTTTTTTGATATACTCTGAAATATTTCATATGCTAGTGATATGTTTCAAAATGCTTCTTATACCTCTGAAATATTTTATATACCATTGATATACTTTTGAAATATTCCATATGCTATTGATATGCTTTGAAATACTTCTTATGACATTGATATGCTACAATTACTCTTTACTCGCTTGTTATAAATAAAATATATTTTGAATAAAATAACATTACAATTCTGCATTCGATGAGTAGATATCTCTAAATAACCATATCCCGCCTTATATTTTGATGTCAAGTTTGTTTTAAAATTGTCTTCTTTCATGATGGATATGTTAGTCGTTTATTAAGTTTTATATGCTCACTCCATTGCTATATAAAATTTTTAGATTAGCTTGTCACTCACTGAAAAATTGGAATTGAGTTGAGGTTATGGAAAGGTACTAAAATTTTGGGTAAATCTTATTAGTCGATATATTATTATTGTTTAAGTATATTTTACATGTAATGAAATATTCTCGATAAATTTTGAATGATGTATCGTGTAAAAGCCTCAAAAGACATCTCACATTTAGAATTTTAAAATATTATATTTAGTTTTACAATAATATATACTTATAATAAATTATTGAAGTTTTAATTATATAAGTTGTTATGCTTATGGATTTAATAGTATGATTAATTTTTTGTTAAGTTGGCTTGGGTTTGTATAAATATTTGAGTGATCTGGTGGATGATTATAAATTGTATAAGTTTTATAGGTTTTATAGATTGATTGATGTTTGAATATTTTCTAATGTCCTCAATGTTAATTTGGATCCTATATTAGATTTTTGATGAAATTTAATATTATTGATTTAAGATAGAGTCGAATGTGATAATTCGAACGAGGGTACGATAATAAATTAGATATTTATTTAAAAAAAACTCATAATTAGATTTTATCGGAAGCCATCCCTTCTTCCATAATTTATTTGGGATGCTCCAATTTATTCAAATATATATAAAAAAAAGAAAAAAAAAACTCCCAAGTCAGTTCATCTTATGTCAAATTAGATTTAATTTTATTAAAAAGAAAATTTAATAAAATAAGTATTTTAATCATATTTTTTTTATCATAAAAGTTGAAGTGATTTGAACAAACTCTATGTTATGACACTCAGTAAGTGAATTACATTACACTCGATTGCATAGAATTAGATGACAATGTACCAAAATAAATTATAAAAACATCTTAATATCATCAAAAATATAAAAAATATTATAATAATTATTTATATCAAAATTTTCTTTGGAAATGAAAGTTGAAGATAAGTTAGATAAAGTTCACAATGATAACCTTGAAGTCAATCGTCTGACATTATGTTGGGAGAGTGACTTCGAGCTCAAGATGAAAGCATATCAATTTGTCTTTAGATGTTGAGTGATTGTTAATGATTTTATTGATGGAAATATGGGTGATCGATGAAGATTTAGGTGGTTGATAGAGTGGTTTTAAATTCGATAATGTCACAGAAAGATCCTATAAAATATCGAGGTCGAGAATACTCGACTCGATCCATATTATGATTGTTGAGTTAATGCATTTGCTTGTTGAGTTGACTACCTGTGGAGTTGATAGTCGTTTTGCTTCTTGCAGAGATCAATTTTATCCTCTATCACATGATATTAAACTCGTAAATTAATTACATTAGACTTGATTGCCAAATCAATACTTAGGTTATGGCAATCCATTTATAAGTGTAGCATTATATAACTCACCTTAATCTTTCAACATAATTAACAAATATGATGTACTTGATTGTAGAATTAATACTTTGATTGGGATAATCCATTTATGAGTGTAATATCATAAAGTCTAAATAACCCTCTTTAATCTTTCAACATAGTTACAAATATCAAATATAATGTACACGATAACTCTGTGATTTTTTTTTAAATATTTTTTAAGTCGAATTTGATATATTTTGGTTATGTAATAGTGTGTAATAGAATTCATTTATAAGTATAACATTATTATAAAATACATCAAACTCAGCTTAATTTTTTTGAATATAGGAGTTAAATATGATATAAATAAGGATCCCATTTATTTATTTTTATTATAGATGATTTTACAGATTTTTAAATCAAATATGATATTAGAATGGCTTTTGGTATAATAATAATAATAATAATAATAATAATAATATTATTATTATTAAAATTACTCCTATAAATTTGTTTATGTATTATGATATAAATATAAAAGCGTAACATGGGCCGTTATAATGGATGAACACTACCGTTACGAGCACCGGTCACCAAATTAGAAATTGATCGAACGAGAATCGACCATCGGGTCAAGGCGAAGAAAGACGCATCAACTTTTCCTCTCCTGCGCTCTCTCCGGCGACGACGAGATGGTAGACCTTCTCCTCCTCTCTTCTCTTTCCTGTGCCCAAATCTTTCTTCCTTGGCCTTCGTGTTCGGATTTCTGTGAAACGTTTTCTTCTGACCGAATCGAATCGAATGGGGCCAGATCCGGTTCATACTGCTCCAAAACCGGCAGGGCAAGACGCGGCTGGCCAAGTACTACATCCCCCTCGAGGAATCTGAGAAGCACAAGGTCGAATACGAGGTCCGGGTTGTTTTGCCCCTCTTCCCTCGTCTTCTTGATGCGTTCTTATTTTTATTTTGTGCGGACACTAAACATTTTTGTTGATCGGTAGGTTCATCGGCTGGTAGTCAACAGGGATCCCAAATACACCAATTTTGTCGAGGTAAGCGAGCAAACCTCTAATTAAACCCGCTACATATTTTTCGATGTTATTGGTAAAAGTCGATTATTGGTCGGCATCGTATTTTCTGATCACCTTGATATTGGATCTTGATCGTACCAGACTGAGCAGGTTTGACTTACTTTCAAAACATCTTGATTACTTGATCTTCGTGAACTGGATATTGGATCTTTCGATGGTTGCTTTTTTATTATATTTTAATCTATGTACAATATACCTTGATATTTATTTGGTGCATTGCGAAATATCAAAGTATTAAGTTGTCCATCATAACGAATGTTGAATACCATGTATAGAAGTAATTGTGAAATTTCCATCTTGACCATCCTCTGAAACCAAAGCATTCACAATGTAGCCAACAAGCATCTCTGTAGTGTCTTTTTTTTTTTAATCATTATTGTGACAATTGGGTATTGACATTTTACGCATATTGATAGGGATACTGCAAGCATTTTTTGTAGTGCTACATGATCTTCTACATCCTTTTTTAATGTAGTTTCAGCTTCATTGACGCATCTTTTTAAACTCCTAGGTCATATTTGTCTAGTGCTGCTCTTTTGGTTAAACATCCATCTATCTTGACAATTTTCTTACTTTGTTTTTATTCTGCTATATATTTATCTTATATATACTTCTACAATATGTACCTGTTTCTGTTCTATTTAAGTCTCATTATGTTCTCACCTTCTTTAAGGTTAGTAGTAAGATATCACTATCCTTTTTCATTTGTTGTTGTTGACGAATAGATTTACTGAATAAGACAGATTCAGATTTGTGTCCGTGCTTCAGACTGTAGAATTTTTCTTTTGTGTATTTGTCTGATACTAATAGTCTATTACTACTGAATTCAAGCGTATTTCTTCATGCAGTTCCGCACGCACAAAGTTATTTACAGAAGATATGCAGGACTCTTCTTTTCAATGTGTGTTGATATCACTGATAATGAGTTAGCATACTTGGAGTGCATCCATTTATTTGTGGAGATTCTTGATCATTTCTTCAGCAATGTCTGTGAGCTTGATTTGGTATTCAACTTCCATAAGGTCAGGACCCCCTATGAGAATTTCTAGTCTTGACTGCTGTCCTAAACTGTCAGATCTGTTCATTGGGTGCAATCAATATCTTTTGCTCATTATTTAGTTTCAAGCTGTAACTGCTTCCATTGTGATGAATGCATCATCCGACTTTTTTTCTACTGAAGTTTATATCTAAAATTATTGTAGCTTGAATGCGCTTACAAAGTTACAATGTGGTGTCAGTACCTGGTTGCATGATTTTGTTTTTATTCACAGAGCTATATTCTGTTTGATGAATGCACAAAGCTTTTCATTTCCTTCTAGCTCTAAACAGTTAGGTATGAAATTTTTGGTGGGAGAGTGGGAATTCATCGAGGTTTATAATCTAATCAGGATCAGTCATGTGCTCCTTGGTATAAATTAATCAAGTTTTTGATGCATAAATTTTAAGGTGAGAAGAAAGCGAATATAATATCTTGAGCTCCTTAACTCATGTGAACTTTAATATGATAAATCGTCAATTTAAAATGACAATAGATGTTTGTGATGTTGAGTGCTAAGAATTGAGTGTTATAATCATCATCATAATTCATGATATCTGTGATAAAAGATCCTTTAGACTTCAAGGTTTCTGGTTTGTATCAAGGTTCGCAATACCGTACCGTACCGGTATTTCAACCTGGGCTCGGTACCGGTATGGTACGGTATACCGAGCGGTACACTCAGGTGTGCCGAGTACTGTAGCACTGCTACAGTGATACAGTGCACTCGGACCGGTAAGAGACGGTCTGCGTACCGACAACCTGTCGGACCGGTATGTACCGCCCGTACCGGGCGGTACAGTTCGGTACGGCAGACCCTGGTTTGTATAATTTTTTTCTGTGAAAATAAACTTTATATTATCCTCAAAATGCAAACACTAGAATTGATCTGGTCATCAGAGCACAAAATTCTCCTCAACTCAGCCGGCATAACTTGCCACCATAGTTGAGATGTACCAAAAAGGTTTTGCATGGGAAGCCAACTAATGAGACACTTGTTTGCTTCCCCAAAAACATGAGAAATGCTGCAGTCCTCAAAACATGACATTATGTTCCAAATAGATATAACACAGTTTAGAATACGTCTTGGAGGTTCTTTTTCTTTGTTCAATGCTGTAGCTAGAGCCATATCATCCACCTCTACTAAAAGCGTTTTGATGCCTTCTCCTTTTGCAAGGATAAGTCCTTCGAGTACCGTAACTTCTTCATGATATCCCCTGCTTCCTTTGTCAATGTATTTGCATATTGCGATTACACAAGTACCCTCTCCTGATCTGAAAATGAAGCCAACGCCACCCTGTTATGAATCTGCATAAAAACCACCAATTACATCTTTTTTCCAGTGCACTAGAACATGACATATTCTAGTGTGTAATCCCCTTCAGGTTCAGTCAAAAGTTTATGATTCATAACCATGCAATAAATCTTTGCCATAATAACAAATGGGCTGGTTCTAGAGTCTTTAAAACACTGATCATTATAGGCATTCCAAATCAGCCATAGGCCGTAAACAATAATGTCTCTAAGTGCCCAAGGACACTCCGTACCAAGAGATTGACCCTCACTTGTCCCAGTCCTGAAAGAAATCAAATTTCAACTCCAACTTTAGCTCTAGTAGATTCCAAACTCTTCTAGCAAATTGACATGAGATGAAGACATGGTTTGTATACTTTTAAGGATGGATAGTTTTGAAGCTAAGTTCTACTGTATAATATAGAATTATTTTCAATTTTTTTGAAAAATTTCCAAATAAGATATTATATCTACCTTTTTTGGGCAAAGAAGCCATAAATTTAAGTACTCGTTCATTTCACGTACTAGCTGGCCAGCAGAACAGTACAGTATTAAGTACCTTTTTTTCCATAAAATACTTAGCCTAATTATTTGTTGATACTGTTGGTATGCCTAGCATTAGTTAATTTGAACAAGTACGGTACACTGGTTGCAGTTGTATTGGTACCATAATGATATTTAAATTCATGAAAGAAAACTAGGTATTTATTTCTTGAATTTGTTAAAAAAGATTGGAGTAAAGTAATAGTGGTTGGTCAATAGAATCAGTTTTTTTTCTGGCAGTACAGACAAACCTTTACTGATCCAAGTATGAGAATATCCAAAGACAGGTCTATGACAAGCTGGTACATGGACTGGTTTGCTGAATATATTTATTTCTACATAATTCTCACTGTTATGAGATCAGATTCTAAATTCCAGCATTGCATATGATAATGATATGAGACTCAAAAGTAATGTGGGCAATCAGGAACATGGCTCATGTTTCTGAGTTTGGTAGAGGGATCCATATTAATATGGAAGGCCTAATCCTCTATATAGTCTCATTTCGGAAAAGAAACATTTTCAATTATTTAGCATTATATCAGTCCATAAGCTTTGAACAAATGAAACTGTAATATTAAGAAGTAAGCTGGAAATAGACAAACTAACCAAAAAGTAGTAAATTGTTCATATGGATGCATTTTGAATTGTGCTTCGGCTGTTCCAGTTCCACAGTTTAATAATAACTGCATTTGAGAGAATTTGTTGTGCTACATAGGAAATTTCACATAATATTTTGCTACTAGTTAAGCATGACTTTGAGAAATCAGAAGTACTTCAGTTGCAATTATGTATGTGTGAGATCCATCATCGTTAAGCTTATGACATGGATCATCTGACGTATAGATACAACATTTCCAGGTATATCTCATATTGGATGAGTTTATTCTGGCTGGGGAGATTCAAGAGACGAGCAAGAGGGTGAGTCTTCATCTGTTAGATTATTATTCATTCTTTTTCGTATTGCCATGTGTTAATTGCCTTGCTTGTACTTTGCAATTGTGATTTTAATGCACTGCTATTTCTGTTCGTTCTGGGAGGGGGTAAGAAAAAGCAAGCACTTCCAAAATTAATATGAAATTCATGTAAAAATCTAATGCTGGATCTATTTTATTGCTAGGATTGTATTTATCCATGAACTAATCATGTATAAACTAGTAGACAAGTACCTGTTCATATATCTTTGTCATATTACTAATCTTCTTGTGTTGGATTTCATTATCTTGTTCGTTCTTCAACACATCTATCATGGAAATCCTTCTTTTTTTGTGCCTGCCTTGTTGATTAAAGGCAAACACTGAAGCTTATATTTTCTAAAGTTTATTGCTGTATATATTCACTTGCTTGTATTGTAAAATTTCTTTGAGCATTTATCGTTTATTCTCGAGGATGAAGTGTTGGTAGGCATCTGGCCGGGCAGTTGCGCCTGATACACCCAATCATCCAACTAAATTTGCATCTTCTTGTCCACCTTGCAGGCAATTATTGAGAGAATGGGAGAGTTGGAAAAGCAAGAATAAGAATTTGGTTCGTGAAATCGGGGCCCCAAAGCTTCGGTTTTGTACCTTCATTAATTAGTTCATGCCAGAGGACAGTAATTTTTTTGCTAGTTTGTGCTATAAGATACTACATGCCTGTTTATCGTCACCTATTATTGGAGAATAATAGTCCCTTCGTACGGTGGACTATGATATGCCCATGCAGCAAGTACTGTAGTTGTTGCCCCTTTGGATTGATTAGTGTCAAATGTTTGAAGTGTGCCTCTTGAACCCGTTTGTATTTTATCAGTCAAAATGTTGCTCCAAATGCTGATGCGTCGTTTCTTTTGCAACTTGTTGACTTATTATATCTTCTATCGTTAACTGACCCGTGTAATCATCTCACAGCCAGACGAGGAAGGTCGATTAGCGAACCATTAAATGTAGAATTATTTTTTGACTCAAAATAATAATGATTTTGACTAATAGTTATTTTGCATTTAAAAATTTTAGAGATAGAGTAGTGGTATAGCACCTCGATTAGTTTTACATCAAAAATAGATAAGACTAAGATTAGATTATTATAATGAGTAGATTATTATCAATTTCAATCTAATTATTTTGATTAATGACTTAGGTTAAACAAGATTGATAGGTTAGTTATAGTTATTGATATTTGATATCAAAATCGAATTGATTTAGTATTTGGCTATGATAAGAGGGTTTAAGACCATTCCATGAAATAAAATTCATATACTAATTAGCTCATTAGATTTGAATCATAATATTTGATATCAAAACCAAATTTTAGTAAAAAAAATTATCCATGGATGTAATAAAATTAATAAACTAGTTAATCAATCAGTTCCGAGTCGTGACACTTGTCACAAGAATGAAATTATGATTGGACAAAAATAAAACACAGTCTTACAAAAGAAAGTATTTATACAAATTTGCATTTAATATGTCACATAATGAGACATCGTCTCACATTTATGGTCACATTCCAAAAAAACATAAAAAAGTGAGCCCACCACCACGCCAACGAAGTCCGAGTTACAGAGAGAAAAGTAGGGTTAACTACCTTGACTTAACATGCTCTCTTCAGAATGGTAAGCTTTTCTAATCCTTACATACTAAAACATGATGCATACGAAAGAAAGTGCACCAAACATGTCACAAAAGCACTTGTAAACATCGAACTCAAGATTTCTTCAACCTTCTCCATTCTCTATGAGCTACAACTTCCGAGGATCAGTGACCAGTAGATCGATTTGGCACATTGCGAGATCCCATGCTTGCGGTTTTTAGGAGTCTGCGGAATTCATCCAGGCTGATTTTCCCATCCTTGTCGATGTCAACCTCCTCTAGTAGTGGATCAATGGAGCCTTTCAAACCCGTGTGCTGCAAATATTGAAGTAACTATCTATTAGGCTCTAATTCTTAACCATCTATTTGCACGCTGCAGCGAGAGGTCAAGATCACTCAAGGATAATATAATCTAAGAATGTCAATGTTATTGTGCAAACAAAACAGGTTATAGTTTGTTTCTGAAACAAATAAAGCACGCATTCAGAATCAGAAAATGTTCCAAAGAAATTGTACCATTCGAAGTTCCTCAGGTGTGATATATCCATCTCTGTCCACATCAAACTTATCAAAAGCAGCTTGTGAAAGCGACCGCCACTTTTCAGAGTCGAGCTCCACCAACTGATGCATATGCAAAGCAGCAGCTACAAATTCTTCAAAGTCGATAAGGCCATCTGTATTGCTGTCCATCTGCTCCAGAAGAAAAGTACTGGTTTTAGAACTTCAACTCTGAAGAAAAAGTTGTAGGTATCCTGATATATGTAAACAACTAAAACGCAAGCCTACAAAGTAACCAATAGGATTCTATCAAGAATGCGTGCAAAAGATCAATTCCTGAATGATACTAGGTTCTTTCCGATTTAGAGTGCAGAAGAATGACCCTAAGACTAACTTTCTATGTAATTGACAAGCTAAAATGGCAAGAAACCTTTAGCTTATTTTGAATACCCTCAAAGTCTCATCTTTTGATTGTCACAGGAAAAAGGCCTGATCTTAAAAGGAAGTGCAAAATTACTGCCACCAACAGTTCCAAGCCATCACTCAATTCGATTAGCAAAAGAAATGTTTAGTACTGGATAATGCATACAAAAATGGGAAAATGTTTTACCAAGAAGAAAAAAAAGCAAGAAAAAAGTTCATAAAGATTGTAACCTACCGCTTGGAGAATCTCCAAAACATGAGACTCCTTCGATTTCCAAGGAAGATCTTTAGCAAGCGCCTGCAAGTGATTATCATTGTGAATCATTGTTCTAACTGAAAAAATTATAACATCACTTATGGCATATTTATAACAAAGCCTGAATAATAATTTTATGTAGAATAATTGTTGCCGATATTTATATTGCAACTGTTATAAAGCCTACAACTGTTATAAACACAATAAACAGAATGCAGACCCACAATATGTCAAAAACTGCAGCATGGTTTTGTATACCTATAGGACTAATATGTACTGATAGGCTTTTTACCAGCCTATAGATCAATACCGACAGGACTAATATGTACTGATAGGCTTTTTACCAACCTATAGCTCAATACCTACACGACAGAACCAGTGACAGACCATATAGTTCAATATGTCTTTTCTCTCTTTTTTGGTTATCTTTTGGTGATATCAGGCAATACAGGTTGGTGTACCACCCGATATATCGAGTTCGACAACTCATTGAAACCAGTAACAGATCAATATTGGATCAGTACATAAAACCTTGGGTTTGATATACAATTCAAATATGAAGTTCAATGTCCTCTAGGGCAAACTATCCGGACTGCATGACTGACCAACCTGCATGTATTTTTTGGTTTAGATCACCTTTTTAAAAATGCAGGAATCCAAGCAGGTTGAACCACTCAAAGGATCAAGTGGCAAGTTAAAAGCATCCAAGAGGGAAAAGACAAGAGAAAAAAAAAAAATACTGCAAAGTTACCCAACTTATATAAAAAAATTGGTCAGTTCACCTGTAGGGAAGGCTCACGACAGAGTTGAAATGGGTGCCTGAGAAACTAAACAGAACATTCAGGCCAAACTTAAAGAATATTAGTTCTTTATGCTACCAGAAACTGCAAGATGAGTTAGATGAACAAACCATCCATTTCTAGACCAATGGTGGAACACGGTCCAAACATCATATTATTTGCACTAAACCCGAATGGATGGACATTTTGTTCTACATAAGACTGACTTCATTTTAAAAATAAAATGCTGTCCAGAGGTGTGTTGTCAACATAAGCATTTTCAGTTGTGAATTCTATGAGATGAAAAAAGAAAATTCAAAGACGCTTATTGTACCATTGCCTAAAGAAGTGTAAAACAGATAACTAGAACAACATCGATGAAAAACATTTCATAACAAAAGCATGTATTTGTTAGGTTGCTCAAAGGTGAAATTTCTTGGAAGAAAGCAACCATATTTGCACAATAATATATATAAACTGAAGATATTTAAAACTGAGTGTCAAGACAAACACACATGTCTCATTTCTTCAAGACTGATTGCACCACTTTTATCAACATCAATTGCATCAAACTGGTCTTTGAGATCAGCTAATTCCTCCTCATTGAGGGTCGTTGCTAATGCCTGTAAATGCAATGGCATAGTTTAGATTCCTAACGAGCCATTTACAATGTATGAGAAGGATATGTTATTCAACATATTTCCTATAGAACGTCAAATTTGTTTACCCTGAGCGCAAATTGCTTAAACCGACTATATTTTACAAACTGTCGCATGTTAGATAACACAGAAATATCCAAAGGGATTTCCAATGCATCACCTCCTTCTCTTACCCATGAATGTGCTGAGAGAAAAAAAAAGGATCCTTTATCAGAAGGAATTCAACAAGTTAGCAGAATGGAAAGTAGAAAGAAAATGTGATTTTAAAAGCAAAACTAATTTCTTATTGATAACAACACAATACCAAGCAGTAATGTACCAACTATTTGGTTTCGCTACAAGGATCTTTTCCACTATTGAGATAATTTCTTATCCATTAACTGATAGTATAGTAAATGAAAATAAAACAACAAAAGATCATCTTGTCATATGCTACCACAATCTATAATCAAACGACCTTTGGCACACATTCAAGATGGCCAAACTTGATACTTACACAAAGCCTGAGCAGCAGTTAGTCTTACACGTGGATCCTTTACCAATAACTTCTTAACAAAATCTTTGGCACTGTTGCTTATGCTTGGCCATGGCTTTCGTTGAAAATCTGGCTCAGTTTTTAACACCTGTAGACCAGCATCACATACCATGATATTGCTGCTCGTGAATTGATATAAAAACAGTAAAATAATAATAATAATACTTACACCAGGTTTATCAAATATCAATTATCTCTACAAAAACAACAGTAGTATTTTAAATGGGTTTTATAAGCAATAATTTTATATGGAAAACTGGTATATCATCATCACAGTTTTAGCAGACCCATCACTGGAACCGAGCTCCATATAGAAGATCAGGACATAAAAAGGCACATCAAGAAACAAGGCAGTGAACAGAAGATCAGCAAGAAAGACTAAGAAATAGGAACGATGACCTTTTTACTTTAATTTCATTGAGAAAAGCCAATTGTTAACCAAAAATCTAACAAAATATGACTTTTATCACAGGAAAGATCACAAAACCACAAAGTAAACAACCTCCTTGAATATTCCATTTTCAGTTCTATTCCAAAAGGGACGCTTTCCACAAAGCAAAATGTAGGTTATAACGCCTATGCTCCAAACATCTGACTCAGGCCCAGACGTCCGTTTTAGTACCTCCGGAGCAACATAATATGCACTGCCAACAATATCTTGAAATTTCTTTCCTGCAAGTGACAACGTCAGTTAGAGCTAGTTAATCTTATCACACTCAAGATTTGCATGAATAAGCAACACCTTAGGTACACCTGGCCTTATAAAGTCTGATAGGCCAAAATCTGTTGCCTTCAGAGGTGAGTCCTCTTTTGTAGATTTGAATAGGAAGTTCTGCAATTATTTAAATAAAAGAAAGGAAGTTCTGTAAACATATGAATGCCTATGATTTTATAACGACTGCATGGAAAAACAAACTTCAGACGTTTACAAATTTGGATAGCAATACAACCACAAATATTTGAATTTTACCTCTGGCTTCATGTCTCGGTGAACCAGACCATGTAGATGACACTCAGCTGCAACTTTAAGCATCTGTCGTACTACTACTGCAGCATCTTTCTCAGTATAACGGCTGTTTTTTCTGTAAAGAAAATTTCCCCACATATGCTTGGTTTAAAACTTTAAATGACAATCTTGAAGACAGAAAGCTACTAGATCCAACTGGAAAGAACATCAACAAAGAATCATATTCTAAATTCTCATGAGGATACAAGATACCTATTTGAACTTCAAGAAAAATTTCTATAACATGAACAGATAAAAAGCTTATAGGTCTTACTTGGCCAATATCCGATCAAGCAGTTCACCACCTTCACATAATCTAATAAAGAAAATACATACAAAAGTTATCATGAACTCATTGCATAAAATAGAGAAAAGATTAAAAAAGCAAACATATTTAGCAAGTAACCAAATGCCTAGAAGTTCATAAGCCTCACATCATCTAATCATATAAAAATAAAAGCAAATATCAAAATTCGTCATGATCTCAATTCCAAAAATTTAAAGAAAACAAGAAATCCTAGCGGTTGAGGAAGTCCAAAATAATCCAACAATTCTCTTTGTTAGCATTTAGATCTACAACCGAAAATTAAAAACAGAGAATCTCATCATGCTAGTGCCACAAAAACCTCCACTACATCCAAGCCACAAAAAACTACTATCAGTATCCAGTGTTATCAAGTATAATGTCGCAAGGCTTATTCAAAACTAGAAAATTTTAACATCTATGACTTAGCAAACATGCTTGCTCATGCCCAATTATCTTTCAATGACATCTAGGTATATCAAGTTTTACAACATCAGTGGAAAACTTCAATGAATTTAATAATTCTGTAATCTATATGTGCGTACTAAGTTATTAACAGATACAATTATCTACTACTGAACTTGCCTCTCCCAAGTTTGGCAACTTGACTCATCAGAGAAATGCAATTACAACCATTTATCGCCCAGTACCATCTTGAATATATCATCATACATCACGCCAGAAAATGATCTTTGTTGCCCTATGTACAAATACTAGTTCAATATAATATGCCGTCTATGAATATATCACTGTTCTCGACAGTCAGCAACATGATAGAGCAGAAATTACTTTGTTCACATCTGATTTCAGAAAATTTTATCTTGCTCACATGCTTCCTAGACTATCTCATTTGATGTTCATGTCCGGAATAACATATTAATTGATTTTATGTATGCTCATCGAGTATGAAATTCACTTTTCTCCATATTCAACAACATAAAAATTATGCTGCTTCTCATCTATTTTTACCATCAAGGCCCTTTATGTCTTTTATATGACTCAGTTTTACAAGTATAAGGATACATGGAGTGAAATGGTAATCCGAACATACATTCTAGTGTACTTTATAATAAATTGGACAACTCTTCTATGCAACAAAATAACTGAAGATTAACAGATGATAATCAAGGATGCAAGATTAAATGAGAAGGTAAGGAGTTAGATGTTCAGATTACCAGCATAATAATATTGTATATATAATCCATTAATCCACTACATATATTTATTATAGCTAAAGAATCACTTGTCTCTACATTCAGCAACATGGTTAAGCATTACTTTGCATTACATACTTTTTAAGAAAGAGAAAATTAAGCACTTTTAAATCTTCATGCAAGTTTGCAAATATAACCATCCTTTTAGAGATTCATGTCGAAATAAAAGATTTAAAAGTATTGTATGTACACTATATTAGTAAAATATGAATTTCAGTAGGAAAACTTTAGTAGTGAATAACCAAAAAAGAACATATATTCAAAGAATATATCAAAATTTTCTGGACCAGCTTTACAAAAAAGAGAACACAGCCTGTTTATTACTAGTCTAAGACGAGCAAGAATGAGAATATCCTGATGAAATAGACGTGGCAGCCTCGTGTATGGTTACGTTTGTCATAAAGTGCAAAGTAACTCATTCTCTAAAGATCAAAAAAGCAATGGGATAGACGTATGGATGGTTTCTAAATGTAACTTAGGTCGAAAGATAATTCATAATACAACAAAACAACTTACTCCATGGCTATATATACAAACGAATCATCTTCATAGGCATTGTAGAAATGGACAACATTTTCATGTCCTTTTAGGGCTTTCAGTATCATTACTTCGCGCTTAACATCCTCGACAGCAATGGGAAGGATCATCTGCCAAGAAATTTAGATGTCTGATGTCAATTACTAAGCATAATATTTTTATTTATTTATTTTATCATATTGACTATTGAGTACTCTTTATCAGAAAGTTTGCAGTAAACAATTGCATAACTACCAAGCACTAAAATCTCACATCTAAGGCCTGTGTACTTAATATAAGTGCAGGCATGAGCTTCTATCACACTGTAGCACATACATAGTTTTTCCCCTGTTCAGCTAGTTAAAGTAAGAACACACATCTGTTCATATTTTCAAGTCAAATAGCATAACATAATCATGTTACACCTTTTCCTTTTAATTTGCAAATATTGAATAGTGGTACCACCAGACACTACATGTGACATTCTGCACACTGCGATGGAGCTGACCAGCACAAGCATGGAATACTAAATCTTTGCCCATGCTGGTTGTGAGCTAGCACGGTGCACCTAGGTGTGTCAGGGCCACCTTCAATAAATACCTGTAAGTCTGTCAAAAGATTAATCTACTGTACAGGCTTATCAGAGAAAAGTTGAAGTTTAACGTGCATATTATATCCATTTCTTGCATTTACTTGTTTTTTTAATTTTAGAAGAGGAAGGCTATCACATCCATTTGGCTTTGCAGCATAGAAACTTTAGCATTTCATCATCACAAGTCCTACGACAGCTGTAATAAAAACCATAGTGGAACAATTTAGTTCATAAATGAGTAACACAGTACTCATTCTCGCTCTGATCATTTCACACTTTGAGCTCCATTTTCTTCCAAGGATACTACAGAGAAGTAAATGCACCGATACAGGAAAGAATCCTGAACAACTGATCATCTGGACCACCGACTAAAAGAATCCAGTCATGTCTTAAGAACTTTGACCTCAATCATTAATGTGGATCCAAAGCCAGGATGATTTAAGGATATGATACAGTAGGTTCCATTAAGTTCACAAATGGTAGAAAAAACAAGATAGATAAAAAGAAACAGGCTTAACTCTTGGGCTATTTTACCGTAAGTTTATATCACTCTAATATTTATTTATCATCACCAACATTTTCTAAAGCAATAAGAGCACAAAAGATGAAAATCTGTATAGGAGGTGTTCACTAAAAATCCTAGAATCAGCTGTCATATAGATCACGCCTATCCATCGAAACATCCAACGAATGGAACATTGCATAAAACACCTAGCAATCAAGCAAGTCAAGTTTCTCGTCTCGTCTTCTCCAAAACAAAAATCTACATACCTTATTCTTGTCGATCCGCTTCACCGCCACGCGATCCCCATGAGCCTTATCGGTCGCCACGAAGGTGTACCCGAACTGCCCATGTCCAAGAAGCTTCCCGATCGTGTACTTACTCGCGAAATCCCTGTCGTAACCAAAGTTCGTCCTTCTCCCGCACGGCACCAACCCGCCGGCCGCCGCCTTCTCCTTCCCGCCGTCGCGGACCCTCTGCTGCTGCTGCTGCCCCCTGTTCGCTTCCGGCCGGCCCTGCTGCTCCTCCGTGGAGGCAGCGGCGGCGGTGTCGCTATTGGGGTCGGCGCTGGAGATGCAGGCGCCCATCTCCTCCCCTTCCACCTCCTCCTACTCCTCTTTGACCTCCCAATTATCTTAGGGTTGCAGAAATAACCATAAAATCAATTATAATCCAATTGCCGATGGTCTCGAGAAAAATCGATCGGGGGAAAGGGCTTAAGGGTGAGGAAAAGAAGGAAATGGTCTCTGGAAAGAGAGAGAGAGAGAGCGTCGTTCCCTTTTAGTTATCTTGTTGTACATATGAGAAAACTAAATAGAACATAAAGAATATGTTGTAATATTTTTTCTCTCTTTTAATAAATCAAATATAAATATTTATAAGTGAAAGAACAAATCATATGAATTGTATAAGGTTAGGTGTGGATCCTATTGGCATTCCCATGTGGAAGTGGAGAAGAAAAGCTGAAAGCGACAAAGAGAAAGACTATGGTTATGTCTGCCACGCACTTCATAATGTTACCGATGGCTCGTGGCGTGATCGCCACGTCTTAGTCTCATCCAAGAATATTAGAACTTAAAAGAGCACAGAAATAATAATAATAACAGTAGATAGACGTGGAAGTCATACGACAAAAAAAAAGGTGTTTCCTTGTATCATGAGCTGGACCAGTATGCAATACTCGGTAATCTCGAGGAGATATATGGTCACATCGAACCCACCTGTCCTACCTTACTTTATTGGTCAGCATTTCATAAATAATTAATTACGGATAGCTGTAGTTATTAATGTGTTTAGTGAAATATTTGCTAAGTGTTGTTTGATAAAATTATATTTTTAATTTTTTTATTTTAAAAATAAAATATATTATTTTTTAAAATAAAATTAACAATAATATATTCATTTTTTTAAAAACATTATTATTGTTAATATCAATAATATATTACTGGCAAAAAAAAATCGATCGACGTGTCCAACAGAAACTCAAAAAGAAGTCAACGGTAACACTTTCCGACGCCTAACTCTAACAGAAGTGAAATGAAAAAAGTTAAGTGATTGTAACATAGTTATGAAATTATTCATTAGTGATGGAAATACTATATAGCTATGAAGTGAAGAAAGTTAAGTAATGTCGAATATAATAAAAATAATTATGTATTAAGATAAATTTCACAAAGAATATAAATATAAATATTAGATTTATACAAGAGATTGTAGCGGACTGATTGGGATATTGTGGTGGTCTATTAAAATAAATATCAAAAAAGAATTTTTTGGGCTATTTCATCGAAAATTATTTTTTTTTATAAAAATATTATCTTTTTTATGATCCCTTAAATATTTTTTTTTCTTCTTTTCTCGTCATCATTGGCTTTCCCTGTCTACTCTAATCATTGTCTCTATCATTACTCTTTGATGTGTATATCATTACTCTTTGATGTGTATATCATTTTTTTTCCTCCTCTTCGTTCTCTTTAGTCATTCATAATATTTTTATCTTCAATGTCTTATAAGCCTATCGTCAAAAAATGATTTATTAATATTTAACAAATGAGAAAATAAATGAAAGAGAGAGAGAAAAAAAAAGAAAGAAATAATATTATTAATGATAGTGAAAGATAAACAATAGGGCGAAGGCGATAGAGACGACGGATAGTGATGAGAAGTCAATGACAATGGATTAAGAAAAATAAGAAATACTTTTTAAGAAAAAATATAAATAGGAGACATATTTTATTTTTAAAAATAAAAAGAGATTTTTTTTCAAAGAAATAACCCCTTTTTATTTTATTTTCTGAAAATTAATATAAAAAAACCTTTATTCTTGGCCTTTATTCTTACCTTCTCGGTCTAGGAAAGAAGGAAAAAGAAGAGGAGCGAAAGCGAGAGATGGCCGCGGAGCAGGTGAGAGCGTCGCACATACTGATCAAGCATGAGGGTTCGCGGCGCAAGGCCTCGTGGAAGGATCCGGACGGCCGCGTCATCTCCGCCACCACCCGCGACGCCGCCGTCGGCCAGCTCCTCACCCTCCGCGAGGACATCGTCTCCGGCAAGGCCCGATTCCAGGACGTCGCCGCACGCTACTCCGACTGCAGCTCCGCCAAGCGCGGCGGTGATCTCGGTATGTTCGGTTTCTCGCCTTGATTCTTATTTTCTCCCTTTCTTTTTGGTTTGTTCCGCGTCGATCGACCTAGATCGCTCCTGATTCTGTGGCGATCATGACAGGTTCGTTTCGATACATCGACCGATGATTTCTTTTCGTTATTTCGCTCCAATCTAGATCTCCCTGCAGTGTGGGTTTCTTTGATCTTTCTTTTGGCTTATGTAGGTTAGCTTTGATGATGATTATGAGGAGATATCCGATTTGTGCTCCTCGAGTGCTTGTAAAAACGGAAGTCCCTAATCAGGTTCGGTGTCATGGATATCTGGAATTTGGTGCGTATAGGGTAGAACCTTTAATCAATTTAAAGCATTGATGGATGTAGGGTAGAGTCTTTAAGTCAGTTTATACAGTGGATGACACTGAAAATAGTCGTTTGATGATTGGAGATGGACTGAAAGACCAAGGAGACTACTATCGTAGCCTGGTAATCTATTGTAGTACCATTGAGAGTGCATTTTCATCATTGAATTTGATAACTGAACTCGGGCGAACTTGGATATAATTTTACTATTTCCCCTGGTCAAGTACTAGAAGCGGCATAAGGTTTTTATTAGATATGAAATCATGGAGATAGAAGAAAGATGTGGTAATTTGTTTCTTTGTCTAAATTGGTGATCAAAAGCTATAATATAACTTACTATAGCGACAACCTGTAATGATGCTTCTCCACTAATGCACATGTCTGTTTTTAGATTTTTCTTGATCATTTGGTTCATCGAATGATCATAATTGAGTTTAGCTTGATGCCATACATTAGTGTGGTTATAGTATTAGTTTGATGTACATGAACCTTCACCAGACTGTATCAGTGAGAGTCTCTTGGACTGGGTTGCCTTCTAGTATCAGTTTCACTATTAGTTTGATGTACATGAACCCTCCCCAGACTTTATCAGTGAGACCTTCTTGGACTGGGTTGCCTTCTAATATCAATTTGATGCTTACGCTTGGCATCTAAACAAGTAAATTCCTAATTATCATAACGCTTGGCATCTAAACAAGTAAATTCCTAATTGTGTTGGGGGTTTTGCTCTTAGAGTGGGCAAATTGTTGGAGGTGCTGCTATTGCAAGAGTTTTATGCTAATAACATGATCGTCTTTGGTGTGATGATACTTGAGGAAGTAGAAGCTTTTCATGAGATTTTTGGTGAAACTAATATGGGCATTTGGTATGTGATGCAACCCTACCTTAACACTGCTCTGTGAGTTCGCAAAAATTAAGAAGGCCACCTTTTTTCAGTGATTCCTGGGTAGGTAATTGCTAATAGAACGACATTAGATAATAGATGTGACAGTTTCTACATGATAAATTAGCTTCTATACATGAAAAACATATGCAGTTGCTTTCAAAAATAAGTCTAAAGGCCTCAAGCTTTTGCTGCAGTTGAATGTTCTGGTTAGGTGAAACAATCACAAAGTTTTATGGCTTTAAATGGGTATAGGTTCATCGACTTTTTTTAAGCTGACTGTTTGAATATGATTTTAGTAAATTACCAGAAAATATACTGTGTATTAATTGTTTTCCGTCTTGATCTAGTTTTTGTTTTCTTGACCATACCATGATACTTTTGCTTATTCTTCCGCCAGCAAATCCTTTTTTTGCCAAAGAAATGATAGATAATGAGTTGAAATAATGCTGCTGGAAGCAGTAAGAAATTATTTGAGAAATCTTTCAGTAGTTAGCCTCAATTTGGATCAAGTTGAAGTGAGATGCAACGGGCGTGTAGTTGTACCGAGCACTTACGAAGCTGATGATTATATTTTTCATGATTAGGTGGATGTGTGTTGTCAAAAATGGATCAATTCTAAAGCTCTATTTCTAATTTAGGAGACAAAAGTAATGAGAGAATGAATTCGATAATTTGGTTGGGTAGTTAATATTCTTGGCACTTATTTCAGGTGAAAGGCTTAGTTTTCATAGAATATAGTTGGCATACTATAACAGCTCCATAAATATTATTCTAAAAAAAAGGCTTGCTAGTATTCAACAAGAACTTTGACAACAGGTAATACGTTTTTAGCAACCGCAATAAAGTCCAGTATTCTGGCCCTACGACAATGTTTGGATGATAACCACAAGGTATTTACCATATATCCATAACCTGAGATTCAACCATCGGATTTCTTTATTGTAACCTAGGTGTTGTATTGTCTGTTCTGTCATGTGCGAGGGTAAGGTTCTATACATAATTCCTGTAATGCACTCCACAACTTTTTTACTTTATGTTTTGAAAACCCATAGTACGTTGGATCAAAGGTCCAGCATTTACTCTTGTTCATCGATGGCTGCTATGATTTTCACAATGTGCACGTTAGCAGAATGTGACTTTTGCTTGCTGAAATACAAAAAGACATTAAGAAACACATCTCTTATAGCATTATGCTACTTTTCCTTCTGTGTATTGAACACCACATCATTATTCTATGCAATCGAAACAAATTGAAATTTTGGTGCAGTGCTACTTAAATATAATGATTTTGTACTATGCTGCTTTGATCAGTCTAATCAAATTGAGCTGGAAAATTAGTTTTCAATTTGTCTTGTTAGGATTCTAGGATCCCACCGTGCTTGCTTGCAGTATCTGCATGAATGGTGTTGGCTGGAAAAATAGATGATTTGCTCATCTCATCCTTTTGACACCCTATGAATGGTTTTGCCTGTATTGACCTCGTTTATTGTTCAATGTATTTTCAAAATGTTGCAGGTCGTTTCGGGCGTGGACAGATGCAGAAGCCCTTTGAAGAAGCTACCTATGCACTCAAAGTGGGCGAACTTAGTGACGTCGTGGACACCGACAGTGGTGTCCATATCATTCTAAGAACTGGTTAATTGCCAGATTAAAGAAAAGGTATCCATGACTTCAGATCCGATTCCTCATCATAAACACCCACATTATAAATGACATCTATAATAAGTCGCACTGATACCTTTGCTTTCTATGCTTGTGATAATAGGGCTATAACATTATTACAAATCTTTTGGCCCTAAACTCTTTCCATAAGAGTATGTGACTGAGTGTTCTCCTTTGGATCATTACTGGAGTACTTAATGATATTTTGGATTGGATACTTGGTTGTTGCTAAGCGTGGTTTATGGTTGGTTTGTATGTGAAATTTGTGGCGCGTGAAATCGGAAGCTAGTTGTTGACATAAACTTTGACGTTAGAGATTGCTTGAGATAAAACTCGATGTTAGATTGGTTTTCATGTACTACTGTCGTTTGTGTGCATGGATTGTGGACAGCGGAGCGCATCGATTCATGATGGTGAGGAGCATTCTCAGATACCAAAATATCTTCTTTGAAGATTAGGTGATGATCCCTTGGCTCGTCGACCGTGTATGCGGCCTCGCTTCGTGTGCTATATGTTTCTTGACCCATTGATGTCTTGATTAGGTGTAGCCATGTGACAGGATCACTACAAACTTTCGAGCCAGAATTGCTCTTTGGAGTACCACAAACCCAAACGAACCTTGTGAGCCGGTCCCAAAGCCCTTACAACCAACCTCTTCCGGAGGAGACTAGAAAGCTCTAGTTCTCCTTTGTTTTTTGTAATCCGGAAACAATACCATGGCCTCGTCTATGGTATTTCCCACTCCTCTCACCTCCCCTCTTATACTTCCCGCCCTCCCTCCCCCAAGCCCAAACTCCACCTCCCCAGTACATCCTCCTCTTCTGTCCGCCCCATCATGGGTCGATACTCTCCGCTCCCACGCCCGCGCCAACTGCTTCCGCGCCACCCTCGCCACCTACGTCGACATGACCTCCGCCGGCGTCCCCCCTGACCACTTCGCCTTCCCCGCCGCCCTAAAGGCTGCCGCCGGCGTTCCTGACCCCGCCGCCGGCTGCCAGCTTCATGCAGCCGTCATCAAGCACGGCTACCACTCCTCCCCCGTTACCGTCGCCAATACCCTCGTCACCATGTACGCTCGGTGCGGTGACCTCCGCAGCGCCCTACAGGTGTTCGATGGAATCCCCGACCGAGACCAGGTGTCGTGGAACTCCGTGATCGCTGCACTTTGCATGTTCGAGCTGTGGGAGCTCGCGCTTGGATCCTTCCGGTCCATGCAGGAGCAATCCGTACCTCCAAGCTCGTTCACCCTCGTCAGCGTCGCCCTCGCCTGCTCCAATCTCGACCGGGCCGACGGGATAAGGCTTGGGAAGGAACTTCACGGGTACGAGTTGCGCAATGGGTCCTATTGCAATGAAAAGAGATTCGCCTTCAATGCGCTGGTAGCGATGTACGCGAAGCTGGGAGGGGTGGATGACTCAGTTGCCCTGTTCGAGCGGTTCCAGGATCGCGACATAGTCACTTGGAATACCATTATTAGCGCTCTCACGCAGAATGATCGGTTCTCAGCGGCGATTTCTGTGCTGCACCAAATGGTTGTCGCCGGAATTAAGCCCGATGGTGTCACATTATCGAGCGTTCTGCCCGCTTGCTCGCACATGGACTTGTTAGACGCTGGCAGGGAGATCCATGCATATGCCTTTAGGAATGCTGACCTGTTCATGAACACGTTCGTGGCCAGTGCTTTGGTCGACCTGTACTGTAACCTCGGCCTGGTGGAGAAGGGCCGTGCGGTGTTCGACAGAATCTCTGAGCGAAGGCTTGGACTTTGGAACGCCATGATTTCTGGCTATGCGCAGAATGGGCTGGACGATGATTCGTTGAAGCTCTTCATCGAGATGGAGGTGGTCGCAGGGTTAAGTCCGAACGAGACCACGATGGCAAGCGTCCTTCCTGCTTGCGTACGTTCTGAAGCTTTCCGCAGGAAAGAAGATATGCACGGCTACGTGTTGAAGAGGGGGATGGAAGGGGATAAATTTGTGCAGAATGCGCTGATGGATATGTACTCGAGGGTGGGGGAGATCGACATCTCTTGTAAGATCTTTGCTGGAATGGAGGACAGAGATGTGGTCTCTTGGAACACCATGATCTCCGGCTACATTGTTTGCGGGTGTTATTCTGAAGCATTCAATCTGGTCAATGAGATGCAGAGAAATGGGGATTCGACTGCAGTCGAAGTCGTCAAACCAAATAATATCACTCTCATGACTGTTCTTCCTGCTTGCGGGTCTCTCGCCGCACTTGGAAAGGGGAAGGAGATCCACGGCTACGCCATTCGGCACGCACTGGATTCAGATGTCGCGGTGGGGAGCGCATTGGTGGACATGTACGCGAAATGTGGTTGCTTAGGCGTGGCAAGAGCGGTGTTCGACAGAATGCCGAAACGCAACGTGGTCACCTGGAATGTGCTGATCATGGCGTACGGGATGCATGGGCAGGGCGAGGAGGCAATGGAGCTTTTCGAGCTAATGTTAGCTAAAGGCGAAGTGAAGCCGACTGGGGTTACATTCATCGCAGCTCTGGCAGCGTGTAGCCACTCAGGGATGGTGAGTCGAGGCATGGAGCTGTTCCACGGGATGAAGGAGGACTACGGAGTCGAGCCAGACGCAGACCATTACGCTTGCGTTGTGGACCTGCTCGGTCGAGCTGGGAAACTGGATGAAGCATACCTTCTCATCACCACCATGGACGCAGCGTCGGACAAGGCAGCGGCGTGGAGCAGCCTATTAGGTGCTTGTCGAATTCACAGGCACACCCAACTCGGAGAAATAGCGGCCAAACATCTTTTTGAGCTGGAGCCTGATGAGTCAAGCCACTACGTGCTCCTCTCCAACATATATGCTGCGTCCGGACAATGGGGCAGGTCGATGGAGGTCCGGAAGAACATGAAGTCGATGGGCGTTCGGAAAGAGCCAGGTTGCAGCTGGATAGAGGTGGGAGACGACGTCCACCGCTTCACGGTCGGGGATTCGGCACATCCACAAAGCACGCAGATCCACTCGTTCCTCGAAACTTTATGGACTAGGATGAAGAAGGAGGGCTACGTTCCTGATACGTCCTGTGTGCTCCATGACGTCGAGGAAAAGGAGAAGGAGGTGCTTCTGCGTGGGCACAGCGAGAAGCTGGCCATAGCATTTGGCATACTGAACACTCCCCCCGGCTCGACCATCAGAGTCGCCAAGAACCTCCGAGTGTGCAACGACTGCCATGAGGCGACCAAGTTCATTGCAAGATTGGTTGGCAGGCAGATCATTCTTAGGGACATGAGGAGGTTTCATCATTTTAGAGATGGATCGTGTTCTTGTGGAGATTATTGGTAGCATTTGTTGCTGCAAGGAGAATGCTGCAAACTTTGCTAAAACATCAGGAGGTGGTGATCTGTAACTTATAACAAGCGTCTTCTCCCATCGAAGACACGTAAATAGCATGTATTATTGAAACTAAGTATGATACCAGCCTGCGATGGATACAGATTACAATCTGCTCATTTTTAGAGGGAAATCTAGTTTGACCTGTCACAACTAGAGGTCGATTATTACAAACAAAATTTGTCAAAGATAATCCAATTGCTGGTCCGGCATGGTCTCAGCACAAAGAAAGAAAAACACGAACCAGAACGCAGAGCAGGGATGTGCTAACAAGACGTTTATGACAGCTAGGATCCAAGGACACTCATCAAAGCAATCACAGAAGGCCACATTCTTCTCCTCAGTGGTGACCTTTAGCATCAGCCTTCTTTTTAGACTTTGCTTTAGCCTACAGAGAAGTAGAAAACAATGTTAGCTATGCATCTTGAGCACAAAAGAACAACCGGCATTAGCTTGTCTTCATCATGATAAACAAAAAGGAAAAGATCAAAAACATTTATCATGATCATGATCAGCACATACAATGGGATGGACAATGTTTAAGTAGAGCTATGGATGTTTTGGTTAGATGAGGTGACTCGATTAGTATTAGTGATGCGAAAGGAGATAGAGGAAAAACTAGTCAGGCTCTACTAAAACAATAAAATCATATTTGAATGCTTGTGATTTTAGTACTGTGAAGAGCTCAGGATGGATGCATAGAGCTGCACCCAAATGCTGTTGATGTCATTGTTGATAATTAGGAACACATCATTCATTCATTACTACCAAGGATTAATTTCAGGAAAATGGACATTTTCATGATCCTTCCTGATCAAACAAAGAAAAATAAAGAAGACACTGTTGCACACTTTAAATGCCATCTTTTCCCAGTTACCCACATTCCCCTAAATAGAGCTTGAGGATATCATCACTTGCTCAAATCACTTCTGACACAGAGACATGAGCCATATGCAATGGACATGTAGATAGAGGCCTAGGTAAGCTAGTCAACCACAGATGTTACACAACAAGCACAATTAATCAGGGTAAAGTGCTCCATATAAGTTTGCTCATCAGGCATCAAACCAGACAAGACACAAGAAACAATTGAAAGGGAGATATAGAGAAGAAAATTCAAAGAATGGAAGATATAAACAGAATCTATCACAATTCAATGATTTACTATTACAAATAAGCAGAGTTCGCGATTCCTCTGTAGCACTCAACCAGCCATGCTAATCCATTACAAGTTTATTCTTAAACCCTAAACCTGATTGGATACTCCAAGTGCGTGTAAATGAAAAAATATATATCATGGTTTAAGAATCAGCAGGTCATCAATTAACAAAGCAATGGCACAAACAACTTTTGATACTTAAACCGTCAGAATTAGCACTATGACAAATGACATGTAGATGAACATGGAACTCGAATATCATTGTAATCCGATATTTGCATCAGGACTTTACGAAAGACATCATCGATTATAATTTCTAGATTCAAGCTAAATCAGGCCCGCCCATGAAAAACCCATCCTGGACCCTAAATCGAGAGAGAAGAAGAATCGGAGATGACAGTGTGCACATGCAGAAAAGCGGATCGGCCGGATAAAACAACATAACCCAAGGAAGCGTAAGGATCTGATACCACAAACAATCAATGATCAGCACCATATGTAGTCACGACAACAGCGCATGGAAATGAGAGATAAATGCACAACCAAAAGGGGCAAATATCGGAAGAAAGAGAGAGAACTATAGGACAAATACCCGGAGATAGGAAAGCTTGATGCTTCCGTAGACAGTCCCGAAGGTAAAAGCCGAGGCGCGAGCCACCTATCAAAATCCGAACAGGCGATAAGAGGAATCGAAAATCCATCGATAGATATAGAGAGAGAAGGGAGGACGTACGAAGGCGAGGGTGCTGACGCCGGAGTAAGGGCCTGGAATCGCCATAACGAGCTCAGAGAGACACGGCAGAGAGAGCCGGGGTGCCAAAGAGGGAAGACTGAGGGAGAGGAAGAGATCGAGATAGGGAGAGGAAGAGAGAGGAAGAGATCGAGATCGGCCGAAAGCCCTAAATGAATAGCTCGCTCGGTGCGAGGCGGTTCTTTTTCTGTTGTGGCTCAACCAGACCATGTTCTGTTGCGCTTCTTGCATTAAAAGTCGCGACACCATTCGTCTCCTCCATACCTGAAGTTACATATTTACCCCTGTTCTTCGAATTATTTGTGAGGACATTTTTGACCTTGTCTTTTAGAAATCCTTGGTTAATTAGAAGGATTTAGATCTTTATAATGAAATTTTCTTAGTTCTTAATACTAATTATCTCATTTCTTCCACTCTATAGATTTCATTAAGTAATAATTAAAGTGAGGCATGTGAAGAATTCGATCATAACATATCGTTTATTTCAATGGCTTTTATAACGGAACTATCATTAAATATATTGTTGTAATAGGGATTCGGTCAATGAATCCATTATAACGCTTGATATATGTACATGAAAAGCGACTGTAACGGTCCGCTATCTCGTTATCTTTTACAACGGTCCTTGGTGGTCGGCTCGCTTCGTAAAGAGAGGGCAACGGTCATCTCTCTCTCTCTCTCTCTCTCTCAATTCAAAATCTGTGTTTGCTCTGCGAATCGATGGGCGACCTGAAGAACTCGTCGTCGCCTGGTTCTGATCGACGCCAATGGCAGCGAATCTTTGGAGCTCTAGTGGAGATGGTGCGGACGCAGCAGTCTCAGATTGAAACCCTCGCCAACGATCGCAAGTTCCTCGAGCGGTACATCCAAATCCAGCACGATCGGTGGGCGTCCAAAGCGGGATTTCTTGAAGCCCATATCTCCCAGGTACGGCGGATTCCGTTTCCTAATCTTGGAATCTGGCGAGCCACCTCCTTGTCTTCTTGGACGGTGTTTGAAAATCCTTTTAGGGTTTCTTTGAAGTTGGCTTATTTTCCTTCTTTGATGGGTAGATGAAGGAGGAGGAAAAGAAGGGCCGGAGAGTGCAGGCGACGAAGCTCGATCTGATGCTCGGGATGAAGCAGAGAGAGGCTCTGCGCTACAAGAAGCAGTTTGGTCAGATTTCCTTCTTCCGGAAATCTTTATTGCTCATAAATTGATTTATCGGATTTACTTCTTCCGGAAATTTTTCCTGCCTCCCTCATTTGGGTTCTTGGCTTGGTTCACCTTGTGTCTTTTTAATCGTGGTGAACTTCTGTTGGCTACTTTCGGTTGTCGGTGCCGAGTGTGAACTCCCTAATGATGACGATGCCATTATGTTTCTTTGTGGATAGATCATTCGATGGCTTAATTTTTGTTTGAAAGAGGGAAAAGTAATGAAGAAAAACACTAACTCTCTGGTTTCTTGAAGTGTACCGTAAATTTCATTGAAGTGTGTTTCTTGAAGTGTGCCATAATGAAGAAAAATTATGAAAACTTTTGTTTAGTGGTAAATTCTGATATATCGCATGATCCATGTAACAGATCAAGCTGAGAATGATTTGGAGGACTTTCATGCTTATGTGGAGGCTTTAATTGCAGAAATTGCAGAGCTCAAGGTGCTCCCTGTTTCCTCTCTTCATGTATGTTATATAAAATCATCTTTGCCTCGTTTAGGATGGTCCTTTGTCGTAACAACCCACGGACCTATTTATAGGAAAAACTGAAAAATCTTGAAGCTGGTGGAGTAAAGAGCGGTGCTGGATATTCCAAGTCAGCAGAAAATTCCGAGGGGCATAAGAACTCTGCAGTTGACTTAGAAGGAGAGATTCGGAAGCTGAAGCACTCTTACAAAAATCTTAGCTTGAAAAAGGAGGCTGAGATCTCTGCCCTGTTAGCAGAAAAGAATTTTGTATGGAACCAGTTGAATAAAATGGAGAGTGACTATATTGTTCTCCTCAAGACCAAGCAAATAGAAATTACGAAAGCTGCTGAGGACATGCAGAAGCTCCACTCCAACCTGGAAAATTTGCAGTCATCCATCATTGAAAAAGGTGAAATTATCACTAGATTGGAAGCTGAACGGACAAGGCTTGAGTTGGATTTGAGAAGGTACACCGATGAAGCAGAAAAAACTAGTAATGAAAAAGAGAAGCTCCATCTTATTGTGGAAAATTTGCAGTTATTGATCAAGGAGAAGGATGAGACAATTGAAGCTTTAAAAAGTAATCTAGCTATGGTTGAGCAGAATGTCACTGGGTGCTGTAACAGGACGTCCAGATTTTTCATAGAGAAGGGTTCACAAAGGAAACCAAGAGCTGCTGTAGCTACACCACAAGGGACTCGATCAAAACGGGGTTCAGGGAAAAGCAGCTCACTATGTTCAGAAGTTAACAAAATGAAAAAACAGCGAAGTGCTTACGAAGCCTCTCCTGGATCACATGCCTCCGTCTCCACTAAAGTGAGTTTATTGAAAAGTCTTAGTTATTTCAAGATTGTAGTATCTTCCATGTTTGTATTTTCATGTCATTAGTTCATTGTTATCTCATCTTTTTTCTTATGTATGTCTATATATGCTGTTTTTGTAACTTTGTTCTGTAATGTCGTAATTTGCAGGTCATCTTCTTTACATGGTTTTTTATTCCTCTAGGAACTAAGATATCTACTTCCAAATTCCAATTGTATAATACGGAATTGCTTGATTGGTACTAAATATATAGGTGTAGCATTCTTAGTTAATAAATTCTGCCTATAATTTCATATGCCTTTGTAGGTGACTTGTTCCTAATGCTTCATCTCGGCATTTCATCACTTTCACTATATCTTGGTGCTACTCATTGCATTAGTCTCTGGTGTAAAATCAACATACTAGTCTTTTCAACTGCTAGAGTTTGATGGACCTTTTTCTTTTTCTTTTCTTTGAAATTTTTTTTCTCAAACTTCATAAGTCATGACAAAGTTGACAAAGACCAGTTTGAATAATGAATAGCTAGTTTGTAAATGTTCTGAACTTTGATTAAAATATCTGGCAATCATTGGTTGTTAATATTCACTGTTTATAAGACATGATAATTGTTAATTTTGAGTTTGTATAGGCTTTACCATTTTTTATTACAATCAATTTTTGGCTACAAGTTCATTGATAGAGAAAACAAATCACTTGATGAAAGGTGTTGGGTTTTTGTGGACTGTTGAAGGTTCAACACTTGGGATTTTTGTCACCTTCTAAGAAAGGAACACTTTGATTGATGAATGGTCAAGTATTAATCTTCTTACGGTGCACTAGATGGCCAAAAAAGTGATACCATGTCTGGCTGGTACTTCGTCTTATCAGTGTCATGATACTTTGGATCTGGTAAAGGCACTAGGTGATACTGGGAAGAATTTAAAGTGGACATGATGCCATATTAACTGCCAATGTTCCTTTACAGTACTATCATAAATGGCTAACCAGATGGTGCACCTGTGAGTTGGAAATTCCATGCAGTGCTTTGCATCTTAAGCCATTCTGTCTTTCTTCAAAATGAGAATTTTGCTTCCTATTCTGTTTGCATATATTAGTGGCCTCCACCTAGCTTACAGTCTTCAAGTCTTACATACTCTGTTCAAACTGAAGTACGATTTTGTTAGATGTATTGTTTTCTTGTTTGAGTGCCTTGAACTATGTGAAGTTTGTCTGGGAGATCTCAAAACTAATAATAGAGATCTTTTTGTTCTGTCATATTATAAAACTATTTAGTGTGCATGTAGCAACATTCAGTTTTATACATGTTCAGACTTTAGAAGTGACCACTAGTCTGAAGCTATTTGGGCTCTTATTAGTGGCCTCCATCTAGCTTGAAGTCCTCAAGTCTTACTACGATAACTCTGTTAAGAGTATCAAACTGAAGTATGGTTTTGTTGGATGGACCATTTTCATGTTAGAGTGCCTAGAATTATGTCGAGTTTGTTTGGGAGAGCTCCGAACCAAGAATAGAGATCTTTTTGTTCTGTTGTGCTATTAAACTATTTATTGTCTGTGTAGCAGTATTCAGCTCTTCCTACATGTTAAAACTATAGAAGCGCCCACTAGTCTGATGCTATTTGGGTTGTACTTGTTTTGATGCTATTGTCTGTGTAGCAGTATTCAGCTTTTCCTACTTGTTGAAACTACAGCTTTTCCTAAAATTGCCTTTCAATCATTATTACTGGGTTCATGTGCTAATTCATGTTCATTTCATTCCACTGTTATGTCTTAGAGAGAACCTATATTTACCATTTATATTTTTCTTTCTGTGTATGCATTCAGCTAACAAAAGGTTCATAATGTAAATTAAGTCGCAAGTATTCTTATCTAACCACATATTCCTCTCTTTAGTATGACACTCTGTATTGGTTCCAGTCATATTTTTCTTGCATGCAGTTCAAATTTTTTTTTAAACCTTCATGATTTAATTTCTTTCAATAAATTGCTTTATCTTTGGATGCATTATGCTCTCATCTAATTGTCTAACCCGACGATATCTTAATTATCATCAGCGGCTTCAAAGGTGTTCCAGAGAGAAATGGAAAAAGAGTATGTCAGCAGGAAGCCCAAGACTGTTTTCTTCCAGTTTCAAGGTTCCAAAACTGAAGAGCACATCTCCTAGAATCTCATAAGTTGACAATTCTAGTTATGTAAATTTCTTGTAAGTTTATTTGTATTGTGGTTAACTTTATATCCAAGTGTCATGTTTGTTTTAGTATTTAAATATACAGTTCTTTCTGTCCTTTTTGTAAAACAATGTCTAATTGTTTGAAACATTTCCGTAATTACTTTAGCATCAACGGGCGGCTACAAGCAAAAATGGTTGCCAAACAAGTTAAGAGGGTTTTTACAAATTCTGTCGGGCATGTAATAGTAAACACAAGGTAAAACATTGGCTGATTAGATTAAACCAGTGAGGCATAGTAATTGCCAAGTTCATTTTGACCATCAGAGCTAGTATCAATTCTAATGTAGATGTGTTGCTTTCTGATGACTTCATTTTAATAAAGGTTTGTTCATACATATCAGCAGGTTTGGTGTTATATGATTAATGGGTTTTTGAATAATTAATTATGTTTTGACCTTTAGATGTAGAAAATGTGGTCTTATCATAATTATGAAATGTAATTGACATTTCATAAAGTGGCACTGGAGGCCTTCCCACCAACTTGGAACAAGAATTTGAGTCTAGATTAGGTCAGCTTTGCATGATATTACTGTGTTGGCATTTGTGACCTTGTCTTACTGCTGATCACTGTTCTTGTGATGATCAAGTTATATAGTAGAACTGTGGAAGTTAATCTCCATTCTTTTTTGTCTATAGGAAATTGAGGAATTTTACTTCATTAATCTTTCAAGAAATTTGTTCTGCTGCAGTAATGTTATACAGGGACACGCTGCTGACAGTAGTAGCATTGAGAATTGACGACAGAACATGTCATTGATGTGTCATCTTCTTTTTTTTTTCCTTGATGATACATACAAATGAATAAAGAAATTTATGCAAATCAATAAAAAGAATGTTAACGAAAAAATAATAAATAAAATAAAATTTATACCAGAGAGCAAGGTGGAATGAGAAGAAAGAGTTTAACAAGAGATTTTAGGATTTCTAAACCTGTGGGTTGAATTAATATTTCTAAATTAAAATTGATTCGACCTACTGATTAATAGAACTTTCAAACTAAAATCATTTATAGTATTCAAAGTAGAATTATTTATGAATCGGTTTAGATCAAACTAGTTTAGATCAAGTTTGATTTGGGTTTTGTTTTTCGATTCAATTTAAACATCCTTGCCACCACTTGAGGATTGCACGCAATCCATATCCTTCTTACACCTCGATTGATACCCCTTTTCTCTTCTATGAGTTTTTGTCTAAAAGGATTTGAAATGATTAGGTAATTCCAATTTATTATGGACTTAGTCGATTTTGCTTTAGTCGATTTTGCCTAAGTCATACAACACCATTGCATGTTCATCCAAAAAAAGGTTAATCTCCTCGAAATCTTTATGGTCTCTTAAGAACATATAAAAGAGAAGACGGATTAGAGAAAGCGTTTTAACTCTAGATCCACAAGCAATCATTTCAGTAAACACTTGATAAACACTGTAAACTATAAATATAGACTTTACAAGTTCTGAACGGTCACGCGACAAAAGGTTTAAGGTGGTCCATCATGACCATAAGTATCCACATGATACTGTTACGAAACAAGACAATGAACTAGCCTTAGACACTACCCAAAAGTTTATCCAGCCATGTGCTATTCAGGTAGCTCCCGACTATTGTGTTGGTTGACACTTCGCACCACTTTGTGAAGCTAGAAAACCTCAAAATGGTTGTTTTGATAGTTTATTTCTGAGCAATTTTGCCTCTATGTGATGATCGTACGTAACTTGCTTTTATAAGTCTGAAACAATCACAAAAATCAATTAAAATGAAGCTATTAAACCTACTGTAAGCCTTCTATATGATGTGCAAAGTATGAACAAAATCAAAAGATACAAACATATGCGAGCTTTATATCAAATGCCCTATTTACTATTGAATCTCGGATTTTGATGATGAAATCAATTGGTGAATTAATGATCTAATTCATGTGTTGAGAGAAGTGATGCAAGACTAACTACAATTGTGAGAAAAGCAAAACGATTAAAGAAGAATTGAAGTTGGCTGAAGTTAATCCGGATGAATCGGGAGATACACCGAAGGATCGGATGATGTAGTGAAAGCTCGCCAAAAGTTCACTGAAAGCTCGTCGGAAGATCATCGGGAGTTTGCCGGAAGTTCACCGACGAGAGTTTGCCGGAAGTTCACCGACGAGAGTTCGGTTGAACGATTGATATGCCGAATAACTTAGATTACTTGTATCATAATTATTTTAGCCTTAATTATCATATTTAGGACTTTAATTTGAGTTAGTTTTGGGAGAAATCCTACTAACTCAATTAGGGGCCAATTGGACCTTTAATAGTACTAAATTGAGCTAGTTGTGTTTGGATCAATACGACACTAAGAGGGGGGGGGAGGGGGTGAATTAGTGCTTACGTAAATATTACGTCGATTTGAAAACTTGTTCAATATAGAAAAACTATTTTCATAAAGCCCGTATTGGAAAGTGTTTAAGCTTGACTTAGAGTAAATGTAAAGTGAAGTAGCTAAGTAAGCAATAAAAGTAAGCAGCAAAGAAAAAGAGCACACCAGATTTATAGTGGTTCGATCATCGTGACCTACATCCACTCTCAATTCCTCCTCCGTTGAGGTCACCGACATCCACTATCGATCTTCCTTCAATGGGAGAAGACCAATTACCCTCTTATAACACTTTTTCCTTTTCATAGGTTTAGGAGATAACATTTACATGTCACTCTTTTACAAGTAGTCTCTCACACACCTCCCTTAGGACTAACTTTAAGTATTGGAGGAGGGAACTCAAAGTTTTTGTAGAATTTACTCAGTTTTTTCCTCAAGAATTTTTGCTTCTTTCTTAATGCCCAAGTGGGATATTTATAGGCCCTAAATTGTTTCAAAAATGGAGCCAAAAAATTGAATTTTCGGGTCTTCTGGGTGCAAGCGATGGTCGGTACCCCAAGTGCAGCCTGACACTAGGCGGTACCATCGCCTAACACATTGTTACTGGGTGGTACCACTACTTGAAAGCCTTGGAGATTAGGTATTTTGAGTTTTCCAACTCACAAGCAGTTCCACCACTTGTTCTAGAGGTGCCACCAATTGACCCAACTTTTGGGTCACTAAATGGGCCTACCAATGAGCCCAAATCAGTCTCAATTATAACGCAATTGGCTGTAAATTGAGTTAGCATAATTACACCAAAAGCTAACTCAATTAACCTCATAAACTACTTCGATCATAAATAAATGATTACAAAGCATGAATCCTTTATTTGACATGTCATTGGTTTATCCGGCGCTTCGTCCGATCCTTCGACGTATTATCCAATTGACATGTTGACTCCCGTAACTTTCGATCTCCTTGGTGCAATGTATGATCCTTCGGCCCGATGCTCGAATTAATGGCATGAAGCTTTCTGCTGACACGTCGACCGATCCTCCGACCCGACGTCCAATTTTCTAACATGTTCACTCCAGCTCAACGTCCAATTCCTCCTACTTTAATAAATTTATCTTTCCTTGATCGAAGCTAGTCCTGAGTCACTCAAAACACAAATTAGATTATAAATTCATCAATTGATTTCATCATCAAAATTTGAGATTCAACAAACTCCCCATTTTTTATGATGAGAACCAATTCATGACGGAGTTTAAACTAAACTTCCCCTATCAATATGTCATATTGATAGAAATTTTGAATTTAGAATATCATGACTATTTAATCATTACATGCATCATGAATATTGAAATAGCTAATTAATCACATCATTGCATGCATATTAAAATCATGAGTATTGCATATATCATTTCAAATCATAATGTATATTTTCAAAATCATCATTACATGCATGATTCCAAATCATCATCATATCTTCTCCCCCTTTGTCATCAACAAAAAGGAGAAGTACATCTTGCAAGTTTTTGTGATATGCATGCTAGAAAATTTACCCAGTTTTTCATCACTTTAGAATATGCAATTATTTGCTTCTTGAGATAGGCAAGATAGCACTTTTGCTTCTCCTAATATTACAAGCTAGCAATTCTAACAAGTTTTACATCATGCAAGCTAGCAAATTTTACATCATTTTAGAACATGCAAGCTAACAGGCAAGTGTTACTTCTCTTTGAAGTATGAAGGCTAGCAAGTTTTTGAGAATGTCAAGTTAAGCAAAATTTTTGCTTCTCTTGAGATAGCAACTTTTTGCTTCTCTTTATGTACAAGCTTGCAACTTTTGCTTTTCTTTGCTTTGGGCAAGTTAGTAATTTTTGCTTTATTTACAATTAGCAAGATTTTCTCCCCCTTTGTTATTGTCAAAATAGAAGGGAAGAATACAATAGTACCGTTTATCTCTTTTTACATCAATGATTCAATCATATCATGAGATATACAAATCATAAATACATGAGAATTGTACATAATAAAATTTGAGTCATAAACATTAAAAAGTCTAGAGATATATCATTGGTTTATTTGTATAATTTTTTCCTTGGTAAATACCAAGAAGAATAGTAGGAGAACAATTAATGAAAAATCTTGATTCATATAACATAAATTTCAATTCATAAGTATTAAGTGAAAGAATCAAAATTTGTTTAGACAAGTCTCTTCTTTAGTGAAAGGAAAACTCTTGATTTATAGAAAACTTTCAAGTTGTAATCAAAAGAATAATCATTATTCATTTGGTTGAATATTTTCTTAAAATAGTGAATCATACGAGAATCAAGAAAAATGTTTCATATAAAATACATCTCAAGTCATAAATATTGATAAATGATTTGATTGGATATATAATCTCATTATTAAAGTGAATCATACGAAAGGAAATCCGAAGTCATCATCAAAATCATTTTTCGAAAAATTCAATGAAAGCAATGTAGATAGATTCCTATAAGATTAAAAATAACTCAAGTTCTTTCGGTTCCAAATTTTGTGATTGATTACATGCTCTAGTCTTTCATACAAAGGCCATGTATCATCATTTATAATCGAAAAACAATATGAAAATCATAAAGATACACATTATTGCTTATTAAAACATACATAAAATTAATCTTATTATGTGTACAAGCATTAAATTTAAATATAATATTTTGTTCCTTTATCATAAAACATGTTATTTTTATGATCATTTTTTTAATAATTTATATATAATTTTTCTAAACTAATTTAAAAATAACTCATTAAATGCATCAAGTGATTTTA